CCCCAACATAAAAGGCTCATACCTATCAAATCGACGTTTATGATTGATATCCACCAGCTTGTAGTCTTTATGAATATTCATTCCCCGAGCAGTGGGGTCGAACCATTCACATTTGAATAAAACTGTTGTGTTGGTGTGGAACCCATTATATCGAACCTCAACCACATCGACCAATCGTCCATAAAAATCATTCTCAACGCTGAAATTTGATCCTTTAATACACACTCCACTATTCATAGTGCTTTTGGAAGTTCCACAACCAAGAGTGTGAAATTTAAAACCATTGACCATGTAACCAGAATATGACTTTATTTTTCTCAATGGGCCTTTAGCAAGGTCTTGAATATATTCATTAGTAATTCCATTCAAAGGATCATGTACCTACATATTTTTTTTTTCAAAAAAAAAAAGCACTTTCATATTATACAGTGTCATATTGTATACTACATATATTTAGAGGTGAAGATAAGATAATACTCACATATTTCTCGAACCAATCAGGAAGTTCGTTTTCAAGTTTTATATCAATTTCTTCTGTCGAGATGCTTCTTCGTTGACTCCTCAATGAATCCACAAATATACTTCATGTGTAAAATTTTAGAGAGGATTTAGCCCTATGAAATTTATAATGTGTTTAATAGTACTAACCAAATGAAAAAACTATAGTGGAACGATTACAAACCTAATATATGGTTCAACCTCAACACAATTGAGTAAGATGTAACTACGGGCAGCATTGTATTCATCTTCTGTCAAGTATCTTGCTTTTGCCCTTCCGAGAAATCGCCCTTGAAACTTGAACACAGAAAGACTTCCTTCAAGGTCTTTCTTCTGAGAACAACCAGCATCATTACGTGGTGGTTTCCTATGCCGCGTGCTCACGTGTTCTTCAAAATAATACTCACAAAACGATGATGCCTCATCAACTAAATATGCATTGCATATCGAACCTTCAACTCGAGCTTTATTAGTCACGTTTCCTTTCAACTTCCGAAGGTACCTAACTTAAATTATTAGTCACGATGATGCTTCATCAACTAAGGAGATATTTCAATTACAAAAACTTATTAATTCATGTAAGTTAAATCACCTCTCAAATGGATACATCCAACGATATTGGACAGGACCAGCAATGATTGCTTCATAAGCCAAATGCACAGGAAGATGCTCCATTGAGTCGAAGAAGCTCGGCGGGAATATCCTTTCCAGTTTACATAATATAATAGGAATTTCAGCATGTAATCGCTCCATATCTTCCTTGCGTATAACAGTGGAAGTGAGCTCTCTAAAGAAAAGGCTTAACTCGGTAAGTGCTTTCCACACATTCGAAGGAAGTAATTCTTTAAATGCAATAGGTATCAATCTTTGCATAAACACATGGCAATCATGGCTCTTCATACCAAAAAATCTGTGTTTCTTCATGTCTACACATCTAGACAAGTTAGAGGCATATCCATCAGGAAATTTAACCTCTTTAGCCCATTTGCACAATTCTTCTTTGCCTTTCGCATCCAACGTGTAGCAGGCTTTAGGATACTTACACGTTTCCTCATTTCTCGCCAACTCTGGACGTCGACAATAGTCATTTAACTCTTGGCGAGATTTCAATGTATCTTTTGTTTTGCCCTGTACATCCATAATTGTATTAAAGATGTTATCAAACACATTCTTCTCAATGTGCATTACATCTAAATTATGTCGAATAAGATTTGTACTCCAATAAGGCAAGTCCCAAAAGATACTTCTTTTCCTCCAACCGCAATTTTTGCATTTTGATCTATTATTCTCATCAGAGCCAATATCTGTGACTTTCATTAAGCCTCGATCAAGTATCTCTTTTAGTATTTGTTCTCCCGTTCGAACGGGAGGTGCACCTTTTGTGACCACTTTATTTTTTAAGAATGACGTTTTGTTCCTTCGGTACGAGTGGTCTAAAGGTAAGAACTTACGGTGGTTGTCAAACCAAGATTGTTTACCACTTTTAGAGAGAGTAAACGCATCAGAGTCCTCCATGCAATGTGGACAAGCTAAGCGTCCAGCAGTACTCCATCCAGACAACATTGAATACGCTGGAAAATCACTAATTGTCCACATTAAAGCAGCTCTCAGTTGAAAGTTTTGCTTCTTCGAGATGTCATAAGTTTGAACTCCTACATCCCATAGTTGATTCAACTCTTTGATGAGGGGCTGTAAGTACACGTCCAACTTATCTTTTGGATTTTTTGGGCCTGGAACTAACACAGTTAAGAACATGTGTTGATCTTTCATGCACAACCATGGGGGCAAGTTCAAAGGCGTGACTATCACGGGCCAACAAGAATATTGTGCAAACGGTTGGAAACCATCTGTGCAAAGGCTTAATCTCACATTACGAATCTCTTTCGCAAATTCTGAATGCGTGTTGTTGAAATGCTTCCAAGCTAGAGAGTCAGAGCAATGTGTCATAACACCATCTTCAACTGTATGTTCTGCATGCCACCTCATTTCGTTGGCTGTAGCATTTGAGGCATACAACCTTTTTAATCTGTCTGTTAAGGGAAAATAATACATCATTTTGTATGGCACTTTTTTCCCTCCACCCGACCTCTTGAATCGACTGTGACCACAAAATTTGCAGCTTGTAGCATCTGCATCATCCTCCCAATACAGCATACAACCATTATTGCAACAATCAATTTTTTCAACCGGTAAACCCATTCCCCGCAACAACTTCTTGGTTTTGTAGAAATTCTCAGGCACTGTATTATCATAAGGGAGAACTTCACTGACAAGTTGCATCATGTCATCATAGTTTCGTTCAGACATGTGATGCTCGGCTTTCATGTGCATAGCTCGGGCAACAAATGATAATTGCGAGTGTGTTGTGCAACCGGGCCATAACTCTTTGTCAACAGCATTTAACATGTCGTAAAATCTCTTTGAATCAGGATTTGGAGGTTCTTCAGAATCTGGATGAAATTCAGGCCCAGCGGCATCCATAACCATTGTGTGGTAATTTGTTGTTGTTTCTACATTTCCACCACAATAGGCGGATGGACGATCATTTGTATTAATGTATGACTCTCCATGTCTATCCCAGATATAGTAATCTGGTACAAAGCCATATCGTGCAAGGTGATACTTAACTTCGTCGGTTGTAAGATACTTGCGATTATGACACTTAGTGCAAGGACAACGAATTTTATCCTCATCCATCCACTCTACTTGAGTGCAAGCAAAGTCAATAAAGGACTCTAATCCTTCTAAGAATTCACTCGTTAAAGCCCCATTTTTAAATCGATTATACATCCACACACGTTCTTCATTCATTTTTATACCTTGATGTATTTCTCCTATTGTTCACGAAAAGCAACTGTGTAAGATGATATTTCAAAACTAGAGAGTTTTATAAGTCAAAGACAACCTTCATAGTATTATGCAAATAATATTCCAGAAAGTGGGTTTCAAATCTAATATATTTCAGGAACGTTATGAGAATTATATTATGCAGAGATAATATTATGCAAATCCAATGTATAACTGTAGTCTTAGTCTAGGAATTATATTCCAGGTCACAGACTTCCTCATATCTATATTTTTTAATATAACTAAAAAATACTAGGTATGATTAATGCAAAATAAATAACAATAACAATATTCCCCCATCCTCAAAGTTACAGTCAGGAAAAGAAATCCCAATTTATCCAGTTCCATCAAGTTTTCCTAAATGGGCCTTATAGTACTACTACATATAAATAAGTTTATTTGAGTCGTTTAACCTCAATAATAAAAATAATAACTTCTATTCCATTTCTGATTAATCGAGCTTATATATTGATGCGTAGAGTAAGTTCGATCATACTTTTTGTCTTTTCTATTCTTGTTTTAGACTTACATATATTTATAAGTGGAACTGGAACAAAATACCATACTTAGGTGCTTCTTAAAGTTTAAAAACATATATTACGAGACAATTAGAGGAAATTTCATATTCTTTAACATTCAAAGTTGATATAGAACTAACACAAGCTAACCTTTAGGATGAGAAAGCTCCATCGAATAGACTAAAAAACTAAGATCATCAAGGCCATATAAAAACTGATTTGATTAAAAAACATAGTTAAACTGAAACTAAATGTTTGATATTTCATTAAAACAATAGTCTCCCAACATCAAATAAGAGCTAATAGGTCATGAAAATTGACCAACCCATTATCTAAATGCATAAATCCATTTTTGTTCCTCTTTAATCTCTACACAAACATTCACAGAATCAACACCCAGTATTCACCCACATACAAACATTGTGGGATTTGAACCAAGTAACAAAACTTGTCATATATCACATTATGCTAGAGGCACCTTTTTTTGGTTAACACATCAAAGAGGTTTGCGAAATCTTAAAAGACAACAGAAACAGCTAAAAAAACAAACACTTGATAGCTTCATGTTATTTTCTTTCAAGTTTCTATTCTTCGAGGAGCTCCTTTTTTCTCAACTATGTAAAACATTTGCAAACTCAGGTTTTCTCAACAATGACATTTGCAATGTTGCAGTGATATTTTATCCTAACAATTTCACTAATCAAATATCAAGACTACACATCTTTTATTTAATCACTTGACTTCACAGGACCCATTTATGATATACTAGTCAAATAATTAACATTTCTTGAATTTGTAAATTATCCTTCTAATTGACTAGAGATTGACAACTGCTCCAATATCAAGTTTTTTTAATTGAAATGAACATTATATGTAAAAGAACAGAACGCTTCGGAGTCCGATAGGGTCATTGGAGCTGAGCAAGGTTAGCGACGAAGAGGACCCACCAAAGAAGACATCTATTCCGTATGTCTTTCTACGGGAGTGAATGCTTTTGCGGATGTAAGAAAGAAAAGACTAAATATTTCTTAATCCTTACTCAACTAAAGCAGGCACCAAGAGCTAAGAAGGGCCTGCTTTCAGAAATTTAGCATCTTTCTCACTACTTTATTTTTACCCATTCATTCTACTATGCAAATGCCGGCCCGGGCCGGCTTTTTGGGAAGCCCATTCCCACCGCGCTCACGGCCCGGCTGGCCTGCCAGCGGTAGTGGGAATCTCCCGTTCATCTTCACATAAACGAGACTCAAAATTGAAATCATCGTGTAATGGTAAACAAAAAACTATGAACCTAATCGGCGAGTAATTACAAACTATAACAAAAAAAAAAAACAATAATAATCAGTAAGAGAAGGGCAGCGTTACCTGTTTGAAGTGGCAAGAGAGACAACTCGCAGTAAGAGAAGAGCCTTAATCGAGGACGGACGTACCGGCACTGGGGGGGCCAACGCGGAGACTGACAATGGAAGCGGCGCGCGAAGACGAGGCGGGGTGCGGGGCCGAGGAGGAGTGAATGAAGGTCAAGGGTTATTTTTTTCTTTCCCGCTTAGAAAGAAGACAGTGAAAGGGTTTTTTTTTTGCTTTCCCGCTTCGAAATAAGATAATGTTTTTTGGATTTTATTTGGCTTTAACATCTGTTGCCAATCGGTTTCTAAATAGCAACGGAAAAATTCTGTTGTCATTTAGCAACACACGAATCCGTTAGTAATAGTGTTCATTTTCTTTGTGAATTTGGCTTTTTATTTTCTGTTGTTATTCTGCTGCTAAATAGCAACAAAGTATTTCTGTTGCTATTTAGCAATGATAATTTCCGTTACGGAGAGTGTTTTTTTTTCTTTTTAGTATTTGTTTTTATAGACTTTTAATTTCGTTGTTAATTTGTTGGTAAATAGCAACGAAAAAATTTTGTTGCTATTTAGCAACGAAAATTTCCGTTATTATTATTATTATGAAGATTTCCGTTGCAATTTTGTTGGTATTTCTAAACGGAATTAAATTGTTGTTATTTGCCAACAACATATTCCGTTGTTAATATAACTATTAAACTTACGTTGCAAATCCATTGGCATATACAAACAGATTTTTTTCGTTGCCATTTAACAACAGAAAATTCTATTGCTAATTCAATTATGAACAAAATTTGTTGTAATTTCGTTGCAAAATTGATGGGGTTTAGTAACAGAAAATTTTCCTCACTATTTGCTAACAGAATAAAAAGAAATTTATTTCCATTGCAAAATTTGTTAGCATTTGGTTGGTAATCTGTTTTGAAAAATTGTATATATAATGCATTGTTAATTCGTTGGTGATCCGCTGGTAATCCCCAACTGAAATATTTCCGTTGGTAATTTCTGTTGGCATTTTGACAATTTCTTGTAGTGTTCCCGCATCCACCTCCTCCTCTTGAATCATAGAAACAACACAAAGGCTATCAGATTCAACAATGACATTACGGTAACCCCTCTCCCATGCCATGCGAATACCTTGAAAAATCCCCCATAACTCGGCCCCCATAATCGAGCAGAAACCGATATATGAGGGACAAGCATCTTTAGGTATTTATCTCATTATGGAGCCATATCAGAAATTCTATGGAGTCATCCATCACTTAATGTATTGACACATACACAAAGTGTAATTATTGTAGGACACATGTCAATACACTATTCGTGAATAAGTGTGGATAGCTCCATAAGTCGAGCCATCCGATGACTCCATAGCAAAACTGTATAAACAGAAAGGTACCCTAAATTTATAATTTATTCCGAATCTATGCATCAAACAAGATTAATGATTTCATCCGATTCCTTTGCAAAATATTTCTTGACGGTAGATATTCTACCGCATTTTATATCTACGATTTAATCTTTATGCATACGGCTCATCTAATCTATGTCAATTCTCCTATATATCTATTGAAAAAATAATAGACATGCCCTCTTCGAGTCTTTTTATTTTCTATTTCTTATATAATTTTTTTATATATTTCTTTTTTAATTTTTCATTTAGAAGTATCCTTGTTTTAGAAACTCAATTAATTAAGGCTGAGAATGTCCCAAGTCAAAGAAACCAGAGGTGGGCTACAAAACCTCCGACTGTTTAACTTTGGAAAAGGACAAGGGATTTTGGGGATACCAAACTCAAAATGTCACATCTCTAAAACCTATAATTAGGTTCCCAACTAGATAAGGTGGTGAAAACTATGGGAGTAACAAACTTTTTCACTGTTAATTTCACAAACTTAATTTCTGAACTAATCACCTAATAAATATATGAAGTGAGACATGGCTCATAGCATTGTAGACATCATCAGTGTAATGTTTTACTTAGTTTAACAAGCTAGCTTTAGTCACATTGTCAAGACTCCTGATCCCCTATATATTAATTCAAAACGTGTTGAGTTTAAGTGACAGACTCGCATACTTTGGGATCCATGTGACAAAATTACATGTTTCGTTATTAGACTTGGATAGATTTTAATTACTTCTAATCCAAAAATAATTAAGTTCGGATTATCCATAAATATGTTGGTTATTTATGGTCATGTAATATGTATTAATTGCATTTTAATATATTCTTATTATATAACCATTGAGTTGTAAATGTATTTTATAAGTTAATAACTTTTGTATTTTTTATCAGTTTTACATATATAATATATCAAATTAATCATCTCTTGATGAACGCCGATTTAACATTCATATTGTATGTATGAAAAGAATAAATTATATTTATCTTTATAACAATAATAAAATTATTTTTTAATATTAATTAGAAAAATAAAATTATTTATCAATTAATATATTTACATTTAAAGTAGTTATAGGATATAAAAATTACTATAATATGACACATGTAAGTCGCACAAGTAACAAGTGTCATTCTAAAATATATAATAATATATGTTTTTTTTAAAAAGTAAATAAAATTCAAAATAATTTTTCTCATTAATTATAAAATTTAAGAATAATTTTTTAACAAGTACCCGTGTAATACGCGGGTGTTGTACTAGTAACATTTTGTTTGTCAACTGAAACGTTTATCTTTTATGGTCTTCCCGTCCCGGCCCAAATTGATGTGGTGTAGGTCCCAAATTTGTCCCATATATAAATATGGATACTATGTATCTTTTTTAAATTTTTTATTATTATTTAGATATACTTAACCAATCATTCCATTTTTATCCACATAATATCCTTCTAATGCATCATATAAAGACAATTTAATAATTTTTTTTTATTTTATCCCAACGTTTGTTACGGTGCTACATTTTTTCTCCCCTTTTTCTTATTCTATTTTTTTTTTCTTCTTCTTCTTCTTTCCTCTCTTTTTCTCACCCTTTAGCGAACCAGAGTTTTATGCTTTGAGAACGGTTGTGCAGAATATTTCGAAGATGGATAAGACATCACTTCAACTTTCAACACGCCTGCTTCATGCCCGTCAATCCCCAAGCGCCAAATTAGGGTTCCGGTCGAGAAACTCTGCCGCCCCACTAACCTCAGACTCTGAAAATCCTCGAAAAAGAAGGCCCGCAGCTGGCGATTCAGTTCAAATTTGTGAGTCCTGTTGAATATAATGATCGTTTTATTTTGATTTGATATCGTGAGTTGATTCTGTCATGGAAATTTTATTAGGTGTCTAGATTTTTTGAAACAATAAAATGTTTTTTTCCTTGCTTTATCGTTGTTTTGGATTTACTTAAATGATTTATGAGTCTGTTTTTAATGAAATTTTGAGATGATTCTGTCATGGAATATTCGTCAGGTTGTAATAAATTATTTGTTTGGCATTAAATTGAGAATCTCGAATCGTATCTTGAAGTCAAAATAAAGACGACAAGAAAAAGATTTGCAAAGTCAAAGGCAAGTTTAAATTTTTTATATTTTCTTTTATCAGCTAGTCTAGTATGTTTAATTATGGACTAATTTAGATTATTTAAATTATAGGAAAAATTGGAGTTGAACGTAGATCAAGAGACTTACCACAAATAGAGGAGAAAAGGAAATCTTGCTTGGAAAGAAAGAGGGTGCACCTGCATACAAGAATTGATGAGGTAAGCTTGCGGAAGAGTTCACTAATGAAGTAAACCTACCATATACGAGAGAGCAAGCTTGGCAGAATATTTGGAAGAGAGAAACGTGAGTTATTTTTGGGAAGCAGCTGCATGAACTTATCATATGAAGCACGACATAAAAAGCATTGCACATATACTTTGTCATTTACGACTTTTGATTATTTTTGAGTAGGTGTGCAAGTTGTGCGACAGTCTAAAAAATTGAGTTTGATTTAATCTTATTGTGTACTCAAATCACATAGGCCGTTATATGAATTTAAGAGTGTGAGATCTCTTGTTAAAAATTGAAAGGTACTTGGGACGGGTACTGAAGAATTCACAGAGGGATTCTGTGTAGTTGCATAAGTCCGCAAGGAGTGATCGAAAAAGTATTTAGGTGAGGGAATACATTGTAAGTTAGAAAGAGGGAGTCTTTGTTGTAATACCTAAATGTATAGACCGAACACTTACTTGAATAAAAGAGTTCCATGGGAGAGTGAGATGCTCTCCTGAAAGTTCATGTTTCGTGAAGCTGCTTCTGCATTTAAGTGAACTTACATTGTTTACTGTTTAGACGCAATTCTACAACTCCCCCAAAATTTCACAGGCGTGTTCAAGTTGCTCGAGCTGAGTGTCATACGAAGAAGACAGTGGGTTGGGTATGATCAATTGGACCAGGTCATAAGTGACCGTGGCCTGGGCGCCTTCTGCCACAGTACATGGTCGGAATGTCTTGAGGAGAGGGGGACGACAAAAGGTAGAAAAGTATGAAGAGGTGAAAAGTTATTAGCGAGGTCGCTTAGCTTGGCTTGAGAAGAATAGGTCGAGGAAGAATAAGCATTGAAAGATGACATGGCTGCAGGAATAAGAGCGAAACGAAAAAAAAACAAACTAGTTCTTGGAAGATCTTAGAAAAAGAAATGTTGTAAAAGCAAACATAAATTGAAGACAGAATTTGAATAAACCCATCGTCGGATGGCACAGAGATCAAGGGCGTGGATTTTGAAGAGTATGGATAGAATAGACGGGCACGTGGACAGTCGACGTGTTGAGGACTCGTGATCTCAGGAAGGTGGGGTATATTTCGCGTCTCATGTTTCCCTAGGTTGTTTGATAGTGCAATTAATGTAAAAGCAGACCAAATTCGAAAGCACAAAAAAGGTACAATTTCAGCACAAGTCTTGGTAGCTGGTTTTGAAATGGGGAGGGGAGGGGGGGAGATAAAATATGCAGCACACAGAATAACTTGGCGGACCAACTTGAGCAGGCAACTCATGTTAGGTCTGTCCTGAGGAGCTTCAACTCACTAAGAAGAAGATAACCCACTCAAGGAGTTCTTTTACGTATCTCAAGGTACTTGTCGACCTAATAAGATGACTGGAAGGCCGTGATCTCAAGGAGCTCGAGTAAAGGGTAGTCGGCTGCTAACACAGGCAAGTTTCGCAGGGGTATGGAGAGTGACCTCAAGGTGTCGAGGTCGCAAGTCCGAAGGTCGGAAGTTGACTTCAGTAAGGTCACAACAAGAAGGCCTGAATGTTGTGGTTATGATCTGAGGACTTAACCGTTGTACGATAAAAGGGGAAAGAATCTTAGTATGATGGACAATATAGCTTGCCAATGAGACTTGGCTGGATGGAGACGTGGTAAGTTAGGCAAAAGGATCTGATTAGATCTCTTTTTCTAACAAGGACTCTCTTGGGCATCAAGACGCTCACCCTTTATAAGGGTAACCAGGTTTTATGTTAAACCATCATCATACTTTGACACATTGCGTATATAGTTTCCAACTTATTCACTTGAACGAGTTTTGACTTGAGCGTCAGAGTATCTACGCTGGGATCTCCTCCCGGCACATTGCATGTCACAGGAGCTCGAGGCAGGATGAAATTCGAGAATTGACCGGTTCAACCTAGTCAGCGACAAATTGACACATCAAGCAGTTATGTACTTTAGAACTTTAGCATGTGATTGTCTATCTTACAAGTTAAAATCCCAAATATTCTCTCAATTTCTCCTAATATATCATTGATAAGTAAAAAATGAATGTGTTAGTCTAAATATGATCATGTTACTGACAAAAAATATTTGTTATTAGACTCAATATATGTCAATATAACTTCGATTTCATCTCGATATTTATTGTACAATCTAACAAATACTAGATTGAAATTGAATTATACGATATCTAATCTATATATATTGAAAGATGTTGCTGGAATAGTCTAAAATAGTAACTTTGACTTTGTAATTAAATAGGTTGTCTTACTATTAAAGGAAATATAGTAAAAAATTACTTTGATATTTATAAATAAGAAAATGAAAATCAAATTATACCTACTATGGCGAATCGTGCAATTCGGTTATTACGATTTTTTGTATAAATAAAGTGGTATCAATTTTGAAATTAATTTTTGTGATAATTACCACAATAAAAATTCGATTATTTATATTAATTACGAATCACTGGAATTTCTTATTCTTTTGGTAACCAACCATACCACGCGTATTCAAAAAAACATTTATTAACTATTTTTTTAGATGATATTATTTGAATATGTATGATAAAATTGTAAATATAATTACAAAATAAAAATTGAATATCAGTTATGAAAATTTTATTATAATATTTATCACAATGTTACAATAGAATCTTATTTATCATTTGGTATATAGCCATATATATCAAAAGGTATATATCTAAAGAGCCATATATGATTTTATATATAACCGCACCGAACCATTTTTTTAATTCATATCACAATTCAAAATATCACTAAAAATTCATATAAATTGATAGATTATAAAAAAATTAAAGTATTTAGAATATATGTTATTAATTAATAAAAAATAAAATAATATTGACGTAGTTAAAAATAATAATTTTTAAACTTCAAAATAATATATATTACAGTCTTTTTCAATTAAGTTTCGGTTATATAATATTTGAATAATAATTTTTCAACTTTAGCATAACTTATTTAGAAATCGACATAATATATCGTAATATGTAGGGATGAAAACGGAAACGGTAATTTCCGATTACCGAGAATCGTTTTCGAAATTTTTTCGGATTTGGAGGCTAAACGGAAACGGTAACGGTAACCGGAAAAACGGAAATGAAAACGGTAAAAAAATTCGAAAATGAAAACGAAACGGTTTAGCCCTTTTCCGATCGTTTTCGAAAATTACCGTATTTAAACGGTATTTTACCGTCGGTAATACCGGCCCAACTCATACTAGGCTCACTTTAATTATAAAGCCCAATCCAAATCCCAAATGGGTCAAATGCCCAAATCCCCTTCAGCCCAACTCTGTGCCCAAATTTCAATGGTTGATTTCTCACCTAATTGCTCCCATTTCATGTTTCAAATTTCAATTGCTACTATTATTCCATGATAATTTGATGGACAAGTCACAATTCAATTGCTAGTTATTGGAATTTGTATGGATTTTGTTATAGCAAATGGTGTGGATTTTAATTTGGATTTTGCCACTATTATGCCGTGAGAATATTTCAATTTATGTTTTAATGCTATATTTTATAATGTGGTGTGTTTATCGTTTTTTAAATACCGTTTTAATATATTTCGATCGTTATCGATGTATTTTCGATCGGATAGTTTCGTTTTCGATATTACCGGAATACCGATGTCGTTTTCGTTTCCAACATTATCATATCATTTTCGTTTTCGAGAAAAAAATATGAAAGTGAAAATGGTTGAGCCCTATGCCGATCGTTCCCGATCGTTTTCATCCCTAGTAATATGGTATGTGTAAGGAAAGACAAAGATATATATTTTGTGAGTAAGATTATTGATAATGTTTAAATAAGTTAAATTTTTATTATCCTTAATTATAATTATGAATTCTAAAATGACAATTATTTTATAACGAGTGGAATAAACATATAAATCATATATTAAATTATTAAATGTCATAAAATGAAAGAAAAAATTAGTATTAATATTCAAAACTATTTTTATACTAATCAATATTTCATTGCTTTTATACAAGCAGTTTATAATTATTGTCCGTGCGATACACGAGCTACGTACTAGTGGTTGATAAAGGAGACAACAACATTAATATTCACACTTTATAGAGGGTTGATTTACATGCATCTTACTACAAATACAATTAAATATGATAAATAATATCTATTCTATTTCTTTCTTTCTTTTTTTCCTGGTGTGTTGCAATAATAATAATAATAAATTAAAAGAAATTTCATCTGAGATTTGAACTTAGAAAGCTTTTTGGTGATAACGGTTACATGCCGCTCCCCATAGAATAAGTGCACCGACCTTAACCTTTTTACAGCCTAGCTCTCTTCCACTCCACAGATCCTTCCAAAACCAAATACCCCATTTTTGCACCCATAAAATGTGCCCCAAAAAATTCAAATAATATAGCATCACAAAAACTACAATAATTTTTATTTTATTATTTTTTTTTAAGTTGAAGGGAAAAAAACCCACTAAAATTAGATGCCATGAAAAACTCATAACTTCATCAAAAACTCACCAACATGCTAAAATTCTCCATTTTCTTGGCCAAAATAAAGAATCCCATCACCCCAAATTACCTTATATTTCTCAAGAAAATGAAAAGGGTGAAAAAAATGAAGCTCCTCAAGCAATACAACCATTATCACTACTACAATTACGCCAAGGAATACGAGTTTTCAGCTTCGAGCACGCCTCTGTTTGGGTTTCAGAGGAAGAATATAGGCAGAGTCAGTCTTAAAAAGTTGTACTCTGATTTTTCAATGTTTTCCAAATGTTTGGGCAGTTTTGGAGGTGAAGAGAATGATAAGATGTATTGCTTAGAGAAGGACCGAGAATGGACGGCCGAGATTGGTTCGTCGGATGATGAATCGGTGGATGAGAGGGCTGAGAGGTTTATACAGAAATTTTATGAAGATATGAGAGAGCAGAGAAAAGAATTGAGCTATGTGAATTGAATGAGGCTTTTTCTTTATTTTTCTTATTTTTTTGTTTGTAATTTAATTTCACTGCCATTTTTTGTTTTGGCTTTTGTATTTTCAAACACCGCCCTGTTTTTTCTTCACTACAATTGGTTTGNAAAAAAAAAATCTATCATTCCACTTTTACTTTTTGAAGCAGTGGGAATCGTTTTTCCAAATGCAATAGAATAGTTCTTGTTTCTGATCTGATTTGTGTTTAATTGTTTTTCCAAATGAAACGAATTATTATCAATTTATAACAAGTATACTTCACAAATACTTGACAACATAACCACATCAATCAAACTCATACAAAAATTATCAATTCATACTTTTGTAGATGTTGATATATACTAAACTTGATAAACAAATATATCGTAATAAATATTAAATAGATCTTGAATATTAACTTGATAGAAAAGACTCGATTCCTTTTTAGGATATACATCAATTCTTGATTGTTACCGTGATTACTCGTGTAGTCAAGATGTCAGCGATCCAACTAGAAGGTAGAGTGCTTGTCTAGATGTCGTCGTTCGTATAGATGGTAGAATATTTGTGTTGATAACGTGTTGTAATGTAGATTGTCGATATGTAAGAGAATGTGGAGATAACAATAGAAAATATATAGAGAAAGAAAGAATGGGGAGAACATAAGAGAAAAGAGATATACAACCGTAAAATCATCATCTTATTCGTCACTTGAGGCCTCTATAAAAGGGAATACAAATTCACTTGAGCCGTATATACATGACTAAGATCGTCTCCAACTGAGACGCAAAACTTAATTTTTGCAGTAAAATTCTCTCCACTCGAACTGCAAACTGATCTGCAAAATGCGTACAAAGACTTTCTCTTTTCTCTCCAAACGCATATTTGCGTTGCAACGCAAAGTTTGCGTTTGATCTTTTTATTGTTGCATATAAGTCCTTCCGTTATATATTTATATTCTTAACACCACTATTCTTTTATATATACATATATAATATTATATTATATTTGGTAATTGTGTTTTGATAAAAAAAAATATATATAATATGAAATAGAGTATTACTTTAGTTAATTTTTTTTATTATATTTTATTAATATATTTAGAAAGACTATAAATTTCAAAAATTAAAAAAAAATTAATATTATCAAATTAGTCATAATATTGAAAGATAACATAGATCTACGGAAAATAAAAATACATCATAAACCATGAAAAATAACACACAAATTCCGAAACTCGAAAGACTATGTATTTTTACTTGCACAAATAATTATTTTATGTTCATTTCAACGTAATTTTATTTTTCATCTTGTGCATTGTAATTTTAAACTATTAAATAATATTTATTTATCCGATTTTAATATGCATATGAATTATGACCTTATAATTAATTTATAACATAAATTCCAAATATAATTTCAAAATAATAATGTAGTTTAATTTTTAAAGTTGAAATATATGTAGGTAGCATTGGAAAGATGTAAAAGTTGTTGTAAAAGAGAATATTTTGAGAATATTCTTTTGGGCTTGAGAATGAGTTTTTCGGTTGGAGATGAATTACCGTTTGTTGCAAAATGGTTTTAAAATGAGTTTTTCGGTTGGAAATGACCTAATGACCTAATGAGCTCCCGACTCATACCTACATAGCTATATCTAAGTACAACAACAACAACAACAACAACAACATAGTCTTTAGTCCCAAGCAAGTCGGGGTAGGCTAGAGATGAAACCCAAGAGAAACACAAAAGACTCGAACCGAAAGGAAGAGATCGAAAAAAAAAAAGGAGCAAAAGTCATGATTCTGGCACGTTGATAGCTATATCTAAGTAATGTCCAGAAATAAATATTTACAACAAAATTGAACATTTATTACATAGTTCCAATTTCATATCACACAAATCTCATATTATCATAAGATTATGTGATTGAATTTTATAATAACTACTCCCTCTGTTTCTTATCACATGTCGTTGTAGGATGTCAACATTTTTGCAAATTAGTTGTCGTTGGAAATATTTTATTCATTCTTTCAACTTTATCCTTTTTAACAAACTTTATTTCTTATCATTATCTTTAAAAACCAACCATTAATAATTCAAACACTAAATTTATGAGGATTAATATATAAGATTATTACACATCCCATAAAAATCATAATTTACAAGTTTTAAATTAAAACGACATCTAAAAAGAAACAGATGGAGTAATTTATTAAAGAAGCTCATAACTTTTTTTTTTTTATTTAAATTATAGATTCTTTAGTTCAAATAATTCGCTGAAAGTCAATTATTATTTAAAGCATCTTTTGTGAAATAATAATTTTACTTTAATCAACAGTTTTTCTTATCCAAAAGTTTTAATCAACAGTTATAATTATTTGTTCAGTTTGATTGCCAAACACAACAGTTAAATTTGAATGGTCGAAAAACTAAACTTAACGGAAAGGGAAATTTACTACGAAAAGGCATGCGGATTTCAACGCGTGAGCTTTCATTTTTCGGGTAAAAATATTAACAATGGAAAATCAAGGTTATCGACTCAAAATATGAAAATCTTCGGCAAAATAAATGTAATAAGATGCCAACGAAAATAAATCGGGTTATATCAATATATATATTCCACTTCCCTAAATAATTCTTGTAACCAGATTCTCTTGACTAAAAAAATTGCATTTTAATCCTATAATTTGTAACTTGTATCATGTTTAGACCAACTCTAACCGAATTGAAAATCCAAAATGAAGAAGAGAAATTGATTCAACCGAGCATCAAACCCAAAACTCAAATTGCGTTTTCCTTGTTCTTTCTCATCAGGAATATGCATATTTGCGTTTGGAATTTTGAAATTGCAATCTCATACCCATGTTTAATATTAATTACATAGTTGGACAATAATAATAAAAAAATTAATTCTTCAATATAAAAAAAAAGATAATCAATTAATCTAAACTACTAATATATACATAAGAAAATTTATTGGTCAATATTCTAACAAAATTTATTGGCCATATTGTATTGTATTATATTCATTATGATTTTACTTGTTATATTTATTCTTTTTTTTTTTCTCAATATATTATCATACTAAAATAGTTATTATTATATTTATCCTTTAATTTCCATAAATTAAATACTAACATAAAAGATATATATATATATATATATTACCAATAAAAAATAACATTATAAACCATGAAATATAAATTAGATGTATATAATAAGGATATCAAATGATAAATTCTCTTCAATAAAAATATTTGTAAACTATTCTTCAAATACGGAATTTATCAACATTATAAAAAAGATTGATAATAAATTTATTAAATATTTTCAAATATTTTTTAAATTAAACTACGGAAAATGTAATTTAGGTTTATTGAAAAAATATGTATTCAAATATTTTGTATATGTATGATTACCATTCTATAAAAAATTATTATATATTTTTTAAAAACCAAATATAAAATAACATTGGGTCGAATGTGTAAAGTTGTTAATATGTGGGTAGTATTAAAAATTTATAAAACGTGATGTGAGAGATTATTCTGAGAATATTCTTTTGAGTTTGAGAATGAGTTTATCGGTTGTAGAAAAATTACTCTTTGATGTGACAATTACTGCAAAATGCGTTTAAGAATGAATTTTTCGGTTGAAGAAGAACTACTGTTTGGTGTGATAGTTACTGCAAAATGCATTTAAGAATATGTTTTTCGGTTGGAGATAGCCTTAAAATAGATTCATAATTTAGTTCTTTATATTTTTTGAAAGTACCATTTTATCTTGTGAAAATGAACTATGTGAAAAAAACTGTTCAGAAAAACATGAAATAAATTTGAAATTGTGATGAAATATTAAATAAAAATTTAATGAATAATATTGAAGTGACAAAATAATATAATATTAATTAATAAAATTAAAAATAGTAATTTTTATTAAAAAATATATAATAATAAAAACAATTTTTGGTTTTGTAGTTGTGGTGTCGTAAAGACCTCCGACCGGCTGAAACGAGCCAATAACACCTGGAACTCGAACGGATCACCGGTTGAACGTCCTCGAACCTGCAAAATTTTCACACTAGAAGAGATTTCTGGTGAAGAGCTTCCGATGCTTAAGTAAGTAAGTGTAGATGATGAAATGCAGAGAGGAAAACTCTATGGAAAATGCTCGGTATAATAGAGAATGTAATATGATTTGAGACATACCCTACTCCCTTTTATAGGGAGAAGATACCTTGGGGCCCAAGTCGGGCGCGTGAGCTGCCTCGGTTGTCAGAGGCGATTATGAGCAGTGGACCACTCAGGTAGTGTCGAATGGTTCTACCTATGTAAGGGGTTTGATTCCTCTAAAATTCCTTCTTATCTCTAAGTTTTCTTCATAAGGTGGCCTGATCATGGACTCGACCCCAATTACCTCGAGTTGGGATGTCTTCAATAGTGAATGTTGTTGTCCTATTTGTTTGGTCGACCACTCGACCAAATGTCTCTTCGGCTCTTCTCACGTCCTTCGACGTCTTGACCTTCAGTAATTTCTCCGACCAGAAGACCTCTCGACCTGAACAATCCCTTTGCTAGGTATCAAATATCCAATTGCAACAATTTCACAAACTAAAATTGCAAATGGGTTGTTTAGTAGGGTCAAAACTGAAAATCCTTCATATATTTGAGGACCAGATTTGCAATTTTGCCACTACCCACCATTGTAAACCCTCCGTAATCTTCTTCCATCACTCCACACTCAGTCCTCTCTCTCTCTCTCTAGGGTTTTATTTATCAGACCAAAAGGCTGAGAAAAATATTTTTCCGATCCATACGACGTCGTTTTCGTTTTTCTCACTCATCTGTAAATTGCAGTATCGACATGGCGGAAAGGAGATCGGAATTTCAGGTCTACAATAGCATGACGAAGCAGAAAGAGACGTTCAAGCCGAGGGTCGAGGGCAAAGTCGGAATGTACGTCTGCGGCGTCACCTCCTACGACCTCAGCCATATCGGCCACGCGCGTGCCTACGTGGCGTTCGACGTTCTCTACAGGTCGGCTTCAGGCCCTTCTTGATCGGGATTTATGCCTTCAATTTTGTGAGGATTTGAGTGTTTGATTATCTTCTTCGATGGATTTATAGTGGAGTTATGGTGCTTTGAAATTTGGAACTTGAGTGAATGCTGATTTGTTAATGTGAATTTCGTGCGTGTTTTCAGAATTTCAACTTGTTTGTAGCATCGACTAGGAGCATCTGGTGTAGTGAAATGTCAATTTTATTTAGGATTTTCATCTTTAGATTGCTATCTGTAAGGGCTGGTTTTTGGAAATCAGTTAAGACTATGAATTTTTCCTGTGGCGAATTGCAATCCTGCTGAAGTAAAATGTGGAAGTGTTCATTGGGTAATCTTAAATTTACTAAATTGGAGAATGGGTTTTGATCAAACAGCTTGTTCGTAGTGAATCATTTTTTACAGTAATAAGATGTAAATTTTGTGGTTTTTGTATTGGGGCAAACTTGAGTTAGGATTATATACAACTTTGTTTATGCCCTCTTCTAGTTAAGATAGCTAAGAGGTGTACAATTTTGCAAATACAGCTTCAGGGGTTGTGGGCTGAATTGCGGCAATCTTTTGAATGTTCCAATACTTCGATTATAACAAGATTTCTCATTTATACAGTAGAACATGATAAAGTTAGTGACATTCCATATTTGCTAAAATATGTGGAAATTTTTTAATTGCTTTAGTTTTCTTACAGTAAAACTTTATTTTATAATTTTATTTTTCGGTCTGACATATATTTTGCCGAAATATTATGATGCAGATATTTGAAACATTTGGGCTATGAGGTTGTTTACGTCCGCAACTTTACTGATGTTGACGACAAGGTGAGACGTCCTTGACTAATGTGGCAATGAATGTGCGAAAGCTCTTTGATATTTTAAGATAATCCAGTATGATGAAGTGATCTTGTATAATTTATGAAATCTACTTTGATTTTTAGCGTCACGGGATCGTTGATGTTAAAAATAGTTAGAAACGGTAAAGAAAAGACGAGGCATTGTGAAAAGGTGTCCGAGGATCTTTCATTGATTGATCGAATGACAGCAACTCTTTAAAAGATCAACAGAAATAAATTGAACATTTTTGGAAAGGAAACATGTATTTTTATCCTCAAAAAGCGTTCTTTCACTAGCTCTTTTGTGTGTGTACATATATATTATTGTGGAAGTGTTTAATAGTTTGGTCCAACCTGAATCTTATGGGAAATTCATATCCAACCTAATTCAGAATGATAAATCTCAATGCAGTGAATTTTTTTATAGTGATTTCAAACACCTAGCTGCCTTTCAAACCACAGTGCACACATCGTAATTATATATTTTCATTTTTTTGGCTATGGTTCAATATTTCAGTTATATATTTTCATGTTTACATTGTTTTCCTCCTGATGTATAAAATTAGAGTGATGCACACGTAATTATATATTTTCATTTTATTGGCTATGGTTCAATATTTCAGTTATATATTTTCATGTTTACATTATTTTCTTCCTGATTTATAAATGTAGAGTGATTTGATACCCTGATTATAACTTTCTTATTTGTGCTGGAGTCCAATACCCACCATCTATACTCATGTGATCTGCCAATGAGATTAAAGGCGAATAATTAATAGTGGTCTTTGCACCTGCATTTGTTCCTTAGTTTTCTTTATGCTATGGCTTTGATCAGTCGATCATTTCAGATTATCCGAAGAGCGAACGAGGTTGGGGAAGATCCAGTAGCATTGAGTGGCAGGTTTTGCCAAGAGTTCCTTAGTGACATGGCTGATCTCCAGTGCCTTCTGCCAACTCACCAACCGCGTGTTACTGATCATATGGAGCAAATCAAGGACATGATAGCACAGGTCCTTTGCACGCATTATTTCTCTATTTTATTTGAGCCAACTTATGTTTCGTCCTGAATAGTTTTATGTGTAAAATTCCTACTTTGAGTAGTTGACTGTAGCTTGTCGGTTTGGTAGTGAAAAGGAGTAGTTTTAGTGAATAATTATGAAATATGCCGACTTGTGATATATGTAATGCAATAATATGGTAGTATAATTGTCTATAACATATGTTTTTCCCTTTCTAGTTTTTTTTTAAATCTTTATTGATATTGGTTATGAGCAGGGCAATATTTTTGGAATTGTCAATAATTATTTAATTTGTTACGAACCATTTCAATTATCAGTTTCATTTCTCTTTTGTTTCGACATACTGGCTCATATTCTTGCAGATTATTAGCAATGGTTGTGCGTATGCTGTAGATGGCGACGTTTACTTCTCGGTCGACAATTTCCCCAATTACGGTACTCTATCCGGACGCAAGCTAGAAGACAACAGGGCTGGCGAACGGGTTGCAGTCGATGGTCGAAAACGAAATCCTGCAGATTTTGCCCTGTGGAAGGTCTAAACTTCAAAACACTCCAAAATTTTACCAGTTCAACTCTCATTGTATCTCATTGTATGCCTACAACATACCTTACGTGCTTCTTATTCATTCTCTTTTGTTTTTTTTTTCTTGATATGTTATGGCAGGCTGCAAAGCCAGGGGAGCCCCAATGGGAGAGCCCGTGGGGCCCAGGGAGGCCAGGCTGGCATATAGAGTGCAGTGCCATGAGTGCCCACTATCTAACGCATGCTTTTGATATTCACGGTGGTGGGATGGACTTGATATTCCCACACCATGAGAATGAAATTGCCCAGAGCTGTGCTGCTTGCTCAGAGAGCAGAGTTAGTTATTGGTTGCATAACGGTTTTGTCACAGCCAATGATGAGAAAATGTCCAAGTCTTTGGGAAACTTTTTCACCATTCGCGAGGTAAATAACTGTTGCCTAAGTTATATTTGTTATGAATATAAATAGGTCTGCTGTAGTAATTTTTTTTTATTTATTTTTTTTTATTTTTATATTTGTTATGAA